ACTAAAAAGAATTGATTGTAAATCATTCATAATTTGACATATCATTTCTTCTAGAAGAACAAAGGGAAATTATTGATCTTTGGGAAGTATCTGAAATGTAAACCTTATATCATAATGGTAGCTAATTATCTAACGTTAATGAACATGGCTTATGCGTAAACTATCAAGTTTACACTGTTGTTCTTAAAGGTTTTCTCACACAGTAAAAAATCAGAACATGATGAAGTAGATGCAATACTAGTAAAGGAACTACAAGCCTGTCTTTTCCCCCATAGAAATTCTGGGAACTACTTTTTTTTTCAAAAAAGGAATCAAAAGAAAATGGATAAAGTTCAGAATCATCTGGAGTTGAACAAGTAGTATTATTATTAGCTGCAGGTATATTTATGGGAGTTTGAAACTGAACATTGTGGTATTTCTACGTTGATGTATTCATGAGCAAATATCCACAAAATTCCACTGCATCACTTGCAGGATCTGTGTTATCAATGCATAATGCTAAATTTTTGCCTATATTGCTCAGAGGGATTTTACAGACATCCTTAATAATCTTAGTTCGACTCAGGATAAGACACTATACTGATACCCATTAAAATGACCTCATCCTTTTCTGTAGTCTATCACTACAAGAATTCCAGAAGGCAGCAATGTAGGTACTAGATCATCTGCCTTTGGGTATACTTGGGTGTCACATTCAGCAAACAAAGCAAGAAGAAGCAGAGCTGAGGGAGGCAATCCCTGTGCGTGCTTCTAATACAGCTCTAGACAAGGGATCATTTACATCATTAACTGCCCCCTGGTGACCGGATGGAAAATCTAATATCATACATTTGGCTTCGTCAATAAGTGCTTGGGCATGCTTGTGCCCAGACTGATTCTTTTAAGACCATTTCAGAGCCACCTTTTTAAATCATCATGAATATTTATGAAGCATAAGTTGAAGAACTTGAGCATGTGCTATGCTAAGAGAGAAAATACTTTTAGCAGCTAGTTCCATACCCTTCATAACCTGCAAGATACTCTTTAGAAGGTTATTTTTTGTCTTATCCTGGGTCTTGTCATGTTAGCTATCTTCATCTGACTCCTGGCACTGGATTATTTGCACAAGAGTTCCTGATACCATTAGAATAAGAGATCTTTCTTGGTTTTATACCATCTAAATATTGAAGACAAATATCAAAGTGCAAAGTGAATGTTTTACCGAATTTAAAAAAAAAGCACCACCATGGGCAAACAAAGGACCTCAAGAAGATTTTGTTTTGGTTCAGTTTTATTGTCATAATATTAAAAATGACCAAAAGGTAACAGCTGAATTTTTTAAAATCTAGGTTTGAAAAACAGATATATATTTTTTTTCTTCCCTGGAATCCATTAGATAGCCTTAAACTGAAAAACCTAGCAAAGTAGAACAGGTTTAAGCATTGGCTACTTACGGAACTTGTGTCCATGACTTGACCAATTACTTTACAAAGAAAAAAAAAAAAAAACCCAAATAAAAATGAACATAAAGAGTTTTCTTAAAAAGTCTTCTCATCAAGAGAAAAAGCATTTAAGTAAGTGTCTTATTTTAAAACCCATCTGCAGTCCTTTTTTTATGTATGAAAAAGAAATGATTTTTTGAAACATTTTCATCTCAAAAATATTTTGAGAAGTTGTGTTATAAAATACCCTTGTTATACTTGTTGATAAACTGTATTTCATTATTAATTTCTTCTGTACATCTTACTGTCATGTTTGCATAAGCAGAGTAAGAGATATTAGATCTGTTCATTTTCCACAACTAGATTCTTTAACGTGTGTAGTTAATGACTTACTAGTTATGGTAGTCCCATCAGTGGAAGAAATAATTTTACACTATTGCTGCAAAATTCGTCAGCCTTCCTTTCTCAGTCCCCCTCAACAGGAAAGGGGGACAAAACAGGACAAGAAAGCTTGTGTGTTGACATATAGACGGGGAGATTGTGTACTAGTTACTGTCACTGGTACAACACAGTTGACATGGGGAAAATTATTCTAATTTATTTATTAAAATAGATTTGAATAGTGAGAATCCAAGACAAAAAAATTAGCATCCTCCTGCCTTTTAGGCTCAACTTCACTCCTGACTCCTCTGCCCATGGGGGGATGACGGGCAGGGGATTGCAGTCCGTCCATAACAACTCTTCTCTGCCGCTCCTTCCTCCTCACGCTGTTTCCCTGCTCCAGTGTGCGTTCTCCACATGGGCCGTAGTCCTTCAGGAATACCTGCTCCAGCATGGGCTTTCCATGGATTTCAGTTCCTTCAGGAACTATCCACCTGCTCCAGCCTGGGGTCCTCCATGGGCTACAATGTGGACATGTGCTCCAGCATGGTCCTCTCCATGGGCTGCAGGGAAATACCTGATCCAGTGCCTCAAGCACTTCCCCCCCACCCTGCTGCTTCTCTGACTTCGGTGTTGGCAGGGCTGTTTCTCCCTCTTTTTCTTCCCTCCTCCTCTGCCTGTGTGGTGGTTTTTGCTCTTTCTTAAACACATTTTCGCAGAGGGGCCACCAGCTTGGCTGCGGGGCTCAGCGGTGCCCTGCGGTGGGTTGGTGGAGCTGGCCTGCACCGGCTGTGTCCCACACCTGGTACAGTGCTGTAACTGCCTCTTCTTCAGCCTCCCTAAATCTCCGTTCTCTAAACTCTGCCTGTGCAAAACACCGCCATGGGAAGTCATCCCAGTGAGTCAGCCTGTACAGAGACAGAAAATTGTTTCTGTTTCCTCTTGTACTCTTAACTATTAAAGTCTTGACAAGCTTTATGGGCTGGCAGAGTTTTTCAGCCTGTCCCAGACCCAGCTGCTTAGGATTTGGCCATTTTAACAGGTTAATAAAATACCATGTCTTCACAAGCTTAGACTGTTACCCACTGCCCTGTGGGGCTGATGAGCTGTGATAATGAGTCAGTAAAAAGACACAAAAAAACCTCCCCCCCCCAATCTTTTTTCCAATATCGCTTAGCAACCCACCCATTCTGACATTTTGGGACAGTTCAGGGATCAAACCACCTATCCAGTGCGCTCCTTTCCTTTTGGCACTTGGTCAGAAAAATTCTTCTTCATCCACTTCTGTAATGTACTTCATTTCTGCTGACTGAGAGGTTCCTGCTCCAGCTGGCAGAACAGCTTCCACGCAGAACCGTGAGCGGTCGTGCCTTGAAATCCTTCCACCATTGTGTTTCATTGCCTCACTGCTGCTCCCCTTCTACCCCTGTTGTCTTCTCTGAAATGTCCCTAAACTGGCTATACGTGAGATTTGAGCCCCACAGTTCTATCAGTTGAAAAAAATCTGAACACTGTACAATCCATCCTGTTATATACTTGTAAAATACAAAGACAAAATTATCTTTCTTTATCCAATTTAATGATGTTTTTAATACAGAACAAAGAGACAGTTGGAGATGGGGTGACACCATTGAAGTCTTCAGAATTAGTAATGTTGTAGCATTAGATTGCTATTTCTGATGTGGTCCATAGCAATAAAATGCATTTCCTTATGATGGTTGTTTTACGGCCTGTAAGAAATTAGTTTACAATAGGTTTAAGCCCATGTACAAGTGACTACATCAGTAAAAACACTCAGTGTAAGTGGCACTCATTGTTAGTTTCAGCAAGAAGACC